GCGCCCCCCAGACCAAAGGAGCTCCCAGAGCCCCGGGAGCCCCCAGAGCCAGACCAGCCCCCAGAGCCCAGGGAGCTCCCATAACCCCCAGAGCCCCCCAGACCAAAGGAGCCCCCATAACTCCGTGAGCTCCCATAGCCCAAGGATCTCCCAGAGCCCCCCAGGCCAAAGGAGCCCCCAGAGCCCCGGGAGCTTTGAGAACTGAAGGAACTCCCCAGCCAGGCTGGGCCTGATGATCCCACGATGCTCTCCTGAGGAAAAGAGCTGAGTATGGGGCCTGGGACTGTCACCAGGACCGGTGGGGGGAAGATCACTGCTCGGGAGTCGGGGCATTGCTGCACACACGGCTCATTGTAGCTCTCGGCAACCGGCTGAGGGCAGGTCACCCCACAGGGGCTGCAGGACTCGCTGTAGCAAGACATCCTTCTCGTGATGGCCGCGAGCCTGCAATGCACAGCAGTAACAGGTTTCGATGTAGAATTTTTCATCTGACTCCAGATGTCTGTGCTTGCTTCAAGTCAGTGGAAATTGTGCCAGCCCAGAGTTCATTACCTTGCAGAGTGTACCTACATCTGATCATATAAATCACATTCTAGACTCTGTTTACTGTCCAAATCCCCCAGATTTCATGCACAGATGCAGACACCTAGTGTCATGTATGGTGAATCTCACACTTAATATCACTGCTTTTGGTTATAGCAATATGAGTCTAATTTATTAAGGCCAGCTTAAACAGACTAACATTTGGTAATGTATTTACAGCAAGCTCAGAAAGGAAGTGTCAGATATAGCCACCTATTTCTATAGTTTCCTATCGCTTCTCCATTAGCACTCAACTTCCAAATAGGAATATTTGCCCTTATGGGGCAAATGCTACCACAAAGCGGTAGAGACCATGATCACTCTGATATTTTTAAATTTTATAATGCATGTAGATCCTGGATTGGAACTAAAATGCCTGGAAATAGTTGTTAAAAGTGGAAAAAGAAAAAGCTCCCATTTTCTTCTGAGGTTAACACCGTCTGACACCCACAGTTCTCCAACCAGTCAATCCATAGCATGGTGTAGAATATAGAATCAACAGAAAAAGGCTTGGGAAGGAGAGAGGTTGAGCCAAATGGGATTTACCCTGTTCACTAAGGAGAACAAGCCAGAAGATGTAGAGAGGCTTGGTGCGGAAACAGCTTTTATATGCTTCACAAACTGCTTACAGATATGAAACACCCTTTGTGCCTCAGGTCCCACATAGGTCCCAACAAAACAACCTTCACGTGGAGGGATTTCATTTGCTTGCTTTGCACTGCCACTCCCCGCCGTCAAAACCAGATGTGATACAACATCAGTACCAACGCGGGGGCATCGGCCCGGTGAATGACGAGATCTGTCAGACATCTGATACCCTGCACCAGGACTGGGGCATCTGCTATTTAATTCCACTTTAAGTTTGATTTTTAGGGTAGATGATACGGGTACAATCTTTTTAGCAGGGCCAGCTGTGACAGGAGAAGGGGTGATGGCTTTAAACTAAGCCAGGGTAAGTTTAGACTGGATATAAGGAAGAAATTCTTTACCATGAGGGTGGTGAAACACTGGAAGGGGTTGCCCAGGTAGGTGATGGGGGCCCCATCCCTGGAAACATTCCAGGCCAGGTTGGATGGGGCTCTGAGCAACCTGATCTGGTCAAAGTTGTCCCTGCTCCTGCAGGGGGGTTGGGCTGGGTGACCTCTAGGGGTCCCTTCCAACCCAAACCATTCTATGATTCTGTGATTCTATGAGTAAGGATCAATTAAAGTTACCCATCTAAGAATAGTGCCCTTTAAGTGAATACTATGAAAATATGTGCAAGCTGGATAAAAAAAAGGGAGAGAGAGAATAGAAAGAGGGAGAATTTCAGGTATCTACAACTCGTTTAGAAACACCTGTATTTGGAGCTCAAATACCATTAATTACTCATGAATTATAAGGTGGATTCCATTGTTATTTCTACTGCTGTCATTGAAATGTCATTGAGGCAGTGACACTTCAGAGCTGTTCCAGATCCTCCTAGGAATGATAAGAGGCTTTACAAACACCCACTAAAAATTCATATTTGATGTGTCGTACCATTACTACGCACAAACACGCAACTATCAGCACACAAATCTTGTGCAAGAGCATCAATTTAGAGACGTGTGAATGAAGGGTTCTGCGTCATCAGGTACAGCTTCGTGCATTTAGAGGTGAGAACAAGTGATCTGGAGGGTCCAAGACATCAACTGAAGACCCCTTGTTTTTTCAGAACATGGACAGGTGACCAGTTAAGCCTGAAAATTCAGATAATTTTTAATGGGGCTTCTTCCCCCTAGAATTTAAGGCAATTGATATTTCAGGCATATTAGCAAAGTACTGGCTCGTAAAGGGAGATGAAGCTACTATCCGTGGTCCGTAGCGTGGACACGTCATAATCTCCCCAAACTTACTAATACTTAGTAAAATAAAGAACTTGATATCATGAATGAAAATCAAATTATTGCAAGCATTGAGGTTCTAAATTACAGTCTGGTTAGGGAATCAAAAGGAGCAACATTGGTTGGCATATTTTTAAATGCTGCTGTTTCATAACAAGGGAACTTCTTAATCCTGCCCTTCTTCATTTAATATGATAATAACAGAAATTGCAAGCGCTAAGTATTAACAAGTATTTGTGAAGCAGCTTAAAGTCATTATCTTCCAGGTGCCTCTCATTATTATCAGCAAATCCTGATGACACTTCAAAGGCAGAGCTATCATACGATTTAGAGGTAACTCACAGCCTATCTTTTGCAATATAGTAAAATTAGAAAACAAGAGATTTGCAAATAACTGTACGATGCCTCAGCCTTATCCCATTAAGATACATCCTTTTAAATAGCATTTTATTAATTTCCCACTTTTTCCTAAGTGGTCAGTATGTCGAGGGTGGGGGAAATTGGGATTGGTTTTAAATATATTTTGAACTGAACCTCTAGACGCAGAGATTTCAAATGAAATTTTGAAGTGCTTGGTATTAGCCTTAGACAGAGATCCTGGCAACAGTTCTGGTTGTATCACTGAAGCCTTGTCTGCCTCTTTGGAGGTGTCGCTTAGCCCAGCCATTACTCTACCAACCTAGCGCCACCTGAATTGTCACGGGTGGCTTGAGAGAAGGGTGTTGGGAGAGGTTTCCACAGCCCAACGCTAGATCCACTTGGGTTGTCATTAGTATTTCTAGCGATGGTGGAACTGTATCTTTCCCCTATATCGTTTGACAGGTGCAGTAAATCAGGCCCAGATCTCCCTGCCTGGGTTAATTATAGGTGAAATGAAAAGCTTAGAGCACAAGCTAAAAACTTTGCTAGGGTTTACTGCTTTCATGCTGTTATTAATAGAGGTATCGCATCAGGAATGAGCCTGCATCGTGGCAGCTCTTTGCCCTCTGTATCCCAAACATTTACAGATCCCCAGCCAACTGCGAGGAGGACTTGTGTCTTCTCAGAGATGAACTTCTACCTTGTGTTGGATGACCTTCACCTGGTTTGTGGACTTGGCACCACACCACGTAAGTAATACCTTGCACGTGAAAATGGGACCAACGTGATGCACACCTCTTGGGCTGGCTTTCAGCTGCAAGTTCCCCAAATCCTCTAAAATGACAACTATAGGTAACTGATCGTCATCAGCACCTGTATCACACCCACACTGACATTTGGGAGGGACAGTGCTGAGGTGGCAAAATTAAAGCTCCCATTATCACGTTTGTTTTGTAACAAATTAGGACCAGAAGCACAAAGGGTGGCTTAAAGAAGCGTATAAAAGCCCATATCACCTGCAGCCCTGCTATCTGCTTCTCTTGTCTCTGTCTCCGCAGTGAACAAGGTAAGTGTGGGTTCACTCATGCTTTCTCCTACTCTTAGCATTTACCTAACGATGCTTTTGTCACAGAGATGATTTCTGCAGGTGTTTTTACAGACTTACATCCTTTGTTTCCTTCTGAAAATGTGTCTTTGTCCAGACACAGCATCGTGACTCACTGCGTTAGGATAAGAAGTAGATCTCCAAGCTGTAAGAATACTTGGGGTGACTTACACCTCATGAAGTCCTATTTAATACAATGAGCTTTTTCTCATATTCCTGTTGGCTTCTTTTTCACTGGTTCTTACGCTTTGTGAGTGCCCCTTTGCCAGTCCAAGCTGATCTGTCTGCCTAATTTATCCAGTACTGAATTTCTGTTTCACATCAAAGGTGATCATGATGAGATGAAAGAAAGGATAAAGGTTGAGTTGATGCAAGAATGAGTCTTATTTGTTAACGTGTGTAAATTTATCCGTTTCCCTGCTAACTTCTGATACTTCACACAGAGTCATTGCTTCATAAAATTGGTCCCTCTCTTCCCAGCCCAGCTCTGGTATTTGTTCACTTATCCTAAAACTCCTTGCTGCTGTGCATTGCAGGCTCGCGGCCATCACGAGAAGGATGTCTTGCTACAGCGAGTCCTGCAGCCCCTGTGGGGTGACCTGCCCTCAGCCGGTTGCTGAGAGCTACAATGAGCCGTGTGTGCAGCAATGCCCCGACTCCCGAGCAGTGATCTTCCCCCCACCGGCCGTGGTGACAGTCCCAGGCCCCATACTCAGCTCTTTTCCTCAGGAGAGCATCGTGGGATCATCAGGCCCAGCCTGGCTGGGGAGTTCCTTCAGTTCTCAAAGCTCCCGGGGCTCTGGGGGCTCCTTTGGCCTGGGGGGCTCTGGGAGATCCTTGGGCTATGGGAGCTCACGGAGTTATGGGGGCTCCTTTGGTCTGGGGGGCTCTGGGGGTTATGGGAGCTCCCTGGGCTCTGGGGGCTGGTCTGGCTCTGGGGGCTCCCGGGGCTCTGGGAGTTCCTTTGGCTTGGGGGGCTCTGGGAGATCCTTGGGCTATGGGAGTTCACGGAGTTATGGGGGCTCCTTTGGTTTGGGGGGCTCTGGGGGGTATGGGAACTTTGGGGGCCCTGGGGGCTGGGTTGCCCCCCTGGGGTCCCTGGGCCAACGGGAGGTCCTACAGCTCCGGCTTCTCCTCCTGTGGCACGGGCTATTACCTCCCTGGCACCCAGAGGTGGGGCAGGTCGCGTCGCGGGAGCTGTGGGGCTTTCTAAAGCCCCCAGGATGGCGCCCAGAACCAGCCACAGCCCTGAAGCAAGGACCACGGCACGAGGACACAGAGCAAGAGCCATGGGGACCAGTAGCATATCCTGGCATGGGGACAGGAGGTGGATGAATGTACCCAGCAGCCACTGCCCTGTGCCAGCGTGTGCCCTGGCTGCATGGCTGATCCCCGGTTTCCCCCGCATCCCTTTGTCACCTTGGCTGTCCCCTGGGTGCTGAGGAGGGCTCTGGTACCGGAGCGTGACACCCGCCTCTCACGTTCGCCCTTGTATTGCCTGGATTTTCCCTAATTGACCGCTGTGCTTCTCTCTGACATTAAAACCCCGTGGTGTTGCACAAGAACCTCTCTGGTTTTCATTTGGTCTTTTGCCTCCTCTTGGAGCAAAACTCCCTGGTGTGCTGAGTGAATTTATCAAACCATCTGCCCTGCTCAGCCTCCCTTTGAACTGTGGAGTGAACATTTCATTGGGATCCTGAAGGCATCAACAGCTCTGTGTTAGCGGATGTTTGTTTAGCAATTTAGCTGTCCTTAGCTTCCCCAGGGTTCAGAAGGGGCAGGGTAATTATTATTGCTCTGAGGATTTCTGGTGACACCCCAAAGGCCCCCAGATCACCACTTAATTTAGCAACCCATTAGCACATAATTGCAGAATTCCTGAGGTAGCAAGCTAACAAAGGAAGAATCTTGCAGAATTTTTTCTTTAATTGGTTGGGGTTTAATTGTTCTTCCTGATATTTACTGCCATTCGCTGTTAATGGCAAAATATTCTTCATAATCTAAACACAGAGTATGAAAATAATGCCAGAGATTGCTGGGAGATTATGAGCTCCAAGGAATTGGAATACCAAACGATGAAATGACATATTGCCTGAAAGGCACCATTACCTTTCTCACCTCTTTCCCCCATTAATTGTTAGCCAGAGATTATTATTTCGTATTGTACTTGAAGAAGTGTGACTAAGGGAAAATATACCCTATCAAAAAAGGGATATTACTCCTTGCTTACCTTTACCTACGATTGCCTCCTTACTAATGGGCATGGTACCATTTAAATGAAGAGCTGCCTGGTGCTGACAATTTATGCAGGCAAATTTCTCCCCGAGAAGGCTCCAAAGAGGAAGAGAGAGGAAGAACATTGCGAGACGCGTATTACGATGCACCATACATTTAATGAGTGAGAAGTAAAATTTTGAAAAAATGTACAGCCTAAGGAAGCAGTGGGGTTTGAATATGGATAAACCAAATCATCCATTTCAAGGCAATGCTTTGCAGCTGGACACCCAACTCCTGCACGCAACCATAAAAATTACATTTTTCACCTCATTGATAACAAAGGCATTAAATCAGAAATGCCAAGCTCCTGCAGTCCCATTAGCTTAGGGAAAAGCTGAGGGTGGTCAGCAAGCGTACGGCCGTGGTCATGAGCTCAGTCCTGCATCCGGATCACGCTTTTAAGCTTCTGGTTGTTCCTTTGTGTTTTTTCCCCAAGGCTTTATCACGGCCCACACCGGTTGTAACGACGGTAGGACCTCCCGTAAAGGCCACCTAGACCTGAGTATCCAAGGCTTCCGAGTCCCAAGGAGCTGCCGGAAGAGATAGGGACCCCCCCGGCACTGAGAGCATCCCCTACAGCTGCTGATGCTGAGGATCCCACTGTGGTATTTTGGGGGAAGGAGCTGAGGATGGGGCCAGGCAGGGTCACCACCACGGGTGAGGGCTGGATCACGTACGTTGAGTCCTGGCACTGCCTGACGCAGGGCTCGTTGCAGCTATTCGCCAGCGGGGTTGGGCCGCAGGAGGTGGGAGGACACAGGTCGTAGCAGGACATGGTTGTGGGGTGCAACTAAGTCTGAAACACAGGGAAGGAAGCAAATACAAGAAAGAAGTTGTAATTACAGTCATGTAATTAAGCTGCTGAGATGGTGGCGAGTGCAAGCAACTAACTAGAGCCTATGTGGAGAATGGAATAATGTGTTAGTCTCAGGTTGAAAGGAGACTTCAAGGCAACCCGAAGTCCTCTGTGTTATAGAGGACAGCTCAAGGGGTAGCTCTGCCTGCTCTGGAGCCGTCTCCAATAGCTCCTTTCCCACCACACTCCCAGGATGCATGCAATAGGTGGGAAGCGAGGGACAAGGCTCGGCCTCCTGTGCAATACAGCTCATAGAAACTTCACCCCACAGCAGAGGGAATTAAGGAAAAATTCCCCAGCAGGTAGAAGTGGGAAGCAAAACCTGGTATCATGACACTCACCTGCGAAAGGGAGCTGTCATCCTCCCCACAGACGGACTTGTCTCTTAACCAGCAAAAGAAAAAATATTCTGCCTAATCCTTACTTAATCAGCCCCTTGGGCTTATTTCCTTCTATGCCGGTCTTACAGAGAGAGCAGCTTTCTGCCTGTTCCCGTCGGGGAGGGAAATGGAAGCTGACTGTGTCCAAATTCATTTGATAAGCAAATAGAACCGGCGGAAGCTTTACTATTGATGTTCAGGTTACTGAGGTGCTGCAATGGAGACCTAGTGCCAGAGTATTCAGAGCATTTTAGAAGGAGATGATTAAAATATTCCTAGTTCCAAAGGAACAGAGAAGGATTGCTTTCATGGTATCCTGGTGCAAGAAGGGATCTACTTTCAATATTGCTCAGCACACGTTTGAAAATTTGAGCCCACTTACTTGTCTATCTACAGAAAAAGCCCCGAGAAACCCAGAAATCTCTATACAGATTCTCCACGTCCACTCCTAGGTGCTGAGCAATTCACATGCAGAGATTTGAACACCTTGGAGCTGAACGATCCAGTGACAGAAAGGAAAGAGGAGTCTCAAATCCTGCATCCAGCAATCGCCACCCTTTGAGGAACAGCTACCCTCTTCCAGAGAGCTACTTGCAGGTCTCCCCACACACACTGATAAAGAGCATAAACCTTAGACTGCAATAGATGAGACAGTGCAAAAATAAAATACGATGAAGGCAACAGTTCAGGACATGGGAAGGCAGTAAGCAGGTTCAGACTTACCCTTTTCACCAAGCAGAATAAAGCAGAAGAAGTGGATGGCAGCAACTCTCTCTCTGCTGGCTTTTATACGCTGTCTTAGAGTGCCTGAGGACCTGAGCTGTACTTCGTGCCTGTACCTTTACCAGCCAATTGCTAAAGACTTCTCGTATGCAAAATATTCCCAGCCGATGATTTACTTTTTCCTCCCTGTTTGTATTTATTCCCTGGATTTAATTTCCTCTCCATAATGTATGCAGTCCACTACAGAGGTTTCTTTTATCTTAAAATCTTACAAGCCCGGTTAATTCCTGGTCAAATCAGCTGATTCATCTGAGTTACTAAAGAAATCCTTTTGCTTCCTAAGGACGATATATGCCATGTACATCATTTGACAGAGATGAATATATGTATTGGGAAAGATGCCTGTGAACTTCCCTGTGAAATCCCCCTTCCCTCTTCATGGAGAGCAAAAGTTTTTGACTCATCTCACACTGAAAAAGCCAGAAGTTACCATTGCTGGCTCTGAATTGGACTGTAGCTTTGCCAAGTTCCTCTCAAACAGCCAGGCAGCCGCACAAGTTCAGAAAATAAAACTGTTACAGAAAGCACGTAGCAGAGCTGATTGCACTTTTCCAGTCTCGAAGGTACTTACTGGGAAATGGATTATCTGAGGGAACATACTGGTTTACTTTCTTGACTCAGGAGATGGGATGAAAGAGTATCAGCAGTCTGAGCTGTTCATTTAATATGAAACCACCGCACTTCCATGAAGGAATTTGAGACACAGCTCTTCAATTTGGGAACTGAGTCTCACAGTCCTTAATCTAAGGAGTCTGCACCTTTAGCTTTCTTCCTACATCAAACTCCAGGGAAACCACTCAGGTCAGACTGTGAATTTTAGGCTTCTCAGAGACACTGGCACCCAAAGTCTTGGACAAGCTTACCTATGGGGTCATTAAAGACGCCAAACACTTTTACATTTGCCATTAAATTATTCTTCTCCCCTACTGTGCCTTGCACTATTATCCAAAATTACGCTCCAAATTAATGGTAGCCACTTGCAGTTTATAATAGTCTTGTCCTTTTTTCCTCTTTTGAAAGTAAATAACGGCGTCTTCATCTCACATGGTCCTTAAGAACATTGCAATGTGCAACAATTCAATTTCTTTTTCAAAGACAATTTCTAGACTAAAAAGTAATTGCGTACAGCACATAAGCAGACTGGAGGGCAGGGATCAGTATTCTGATCTCTCCTCTCCTGACGTTTAAATCACTTAGCTAGAGACATGCAAATTATCTCTGAGTGGCGAGTATCTTCATTAAGATCGCCTGGGAAATAAATGCTGATTGTACGCTTTTGAAGAACAAAAGGCTTCAAAGTTCACACCACCTTTTCATCAGCAGCTCAGACAGGCAAATAACTCAGTATCAGAAAATGTGAAGGTGTATGACACCATCTGAACAGGACCAGCGGTTCCGGTTGTGGCCGGGATTACTAACAAATTCCACAGACTTCCTCACATTCTTTGGTGTCACAAACTGGACCCCTTCCATTTTTTTTACTTAATATATAAATATCTGCACAAAATCACATGTGGAACATCCCGTTCCAATCACCGGACACTGGATGGCCTTAGGTATGTGATGACGCCCGCTACTGACTGAGTCTCCACTCCCTTGAGATTTTCCAGTTTCCCAGTGCCCTCACCAATGCACAGACAGAGGCACACTCCTGCGGTATCGAAACGTTAAAAACCGTGTTCCCTTATAGCAATAACTACCTATGGACCATATGAGAAGCCTGTGGTTTTGAAAACGAACTCATCAAAAGGTACAGTGATGATAAAAAGAATTACAAGTCCTCTCCTGAAGGTGATCATACGTCGAGTTAACCTGGCTGGCTCAACCTCCTCATCCCAGGAGCTGAAAGCTTTCGGATATTGCTCGTCAGGATATTACAGAGTAGTGATCTTAAATCTCGCAGTCCCTTATCAGGGA